GCAATTAAGAAAGATCTCAAAAGAGGCTTTCATTAAAATTAGCAAAGAATTTTTTTGTAACCACCCTCATATGATACATTCAGTTTTTGGAATCATAGAATCATAAGATCATCCAATTTTCAGCATAGAATATTTGATTTTACAAAAACATATGCCATAAGTAGGGAAGTTATTTCTTTAAGATTCATTTTTAATGAATAAAGTATCATCAATTTTACATTGCTGTATTGAGTGCAAATTCATTCAGTATTTATTAATAACCATAGCTACTTTTCATTCATGAAACATCAGTGTACACATAGCACATACATCCTTGTATAAATAAAACAATGATATGCTTGTGATTTTAAATGGGAATCATTTTTTCTTGTAAAAATGGAATGACTTAATGACAATAGTTATTTCAATAGCAAGGTCAAGAATACTTTCAGCATCTTTTCTAAGTAACTTAATATTTAATTGTATTGTTGGAATGGTCCACACAGTGGACTAGATTTGATCCAGATAAACGTGGAATTTAGTCTTAATGATCTAGATTCCTGAAAATCACCTTGATTAGGAATCACAGAAGGTTTTGAAAATACTATGTGCATTTTTAAATATCCTAAACATTTCAGCCATTTTGTAAAGATATATGGATATGTGCTTTGGATCAGACATTGTGCTAAGATTGTCAAAGTGTACAAGACTTCTGTCTGCCTCTGTCCTTGTAAAGTTTAGAGTTGAATGGAGAAAATCAAGCATACTAGGCATTCTGTTTCCCATTATGATTGTCTAGAATAATGTTGGAGCCTCATAGGTGGCCAGCAGAGCCCATGAGTTGCATATCAGTTTTGACAGGGGCATTTTGAACTCTTATTTTGAAGCAGGAACAAAACAAGTTCTCCTACATTTAATTGACAAGGGGCTTTATGTGTAAAACCAAAGGTTCTACTTTAGTTACTATATATGTAATCATAGACAAAAGTCAGAATCCTACAACTTGAAAAGATAGCAAAAAACAACTTCAAAAACTGCACCTATGAACAGAGATTTTTTTTAATAGATCTGAATGAATATATTTTGTAATCTGTGGGCATAAATTTTAACTGAGGATGTTGCAGTACAAACAAAAGTAGAAAACTCTAAAAAGGGGAGATCATTGTGAACAATACAGACATAGAATGCCACCTTTCTCTTTGAGCCAACATTTAAAGCTTTTAGGTAAGATTACTTGATGGAGGTGAACAATATTTGGCAGTTAAGAGTGTCTACTGTAGACAGAATTGATGACTAAAGTATCTAACTGAACATTTCTTACTTCTCTTTAAGAATAACACTATAAATGAAAACCATCAAGGTAAACTTGACAGCACTTTAAAACATCCTTTTTACCTATTTTAGCTTTCTCTGACAATTACAGTCTTCAGAACACAAACTAGGGTACTAAAAATATTAGAGATATATTTTCTGAGGTTCATTTTGCCAAGTGAAGTGTGTGTGTGTGTGTGTGCACTTATGTGTGTATGTGCTCTTAGGAAATCAACAAAGCATTTTATATAGAAAATAATTTCAAATATCATTGGAATCAGCTTTATAAAGCAAATCATGATAAATTCTGTCCTACAAAAAGGAATTATATAAGGAATCCATGTGGTTTCTACAATTATTAGGTAAGGTTTGCCACAAGGAGAAATGTAAGGAAAGGCATCATTCAAAATAAATACTTTCCTTAGAACTGATTACTTTAAAACAATAAACAATTACTATTTCTAATGCATTCTGTGATTTGATCAATCATACATAGTGTCTAAATTGAAAGTTCATTTCTTAGTATGAAGAAAAATGTATTTTTTATTAATGTTTTAAGTTATTCTCAGTACTTGCAGGAAGTCACTGTAGAGAGGTCTTGATAATCTCAGGATTAAGCAATCACTTTAGAATGTTTTTATATGTCTTTACCATTCTTTGAAAAGGTTTCATATTCTTTTTTTTGCTAACGCTGAAATTAGGTATGAATTGCATGAAATTTAATTTTGAGTACAGAGTAATTTCTTTGAAATCTTTCCATTCTTGTATACTTTTATAAAATTCTTGAGTAAGCACAATTGACATGCTAAAGGAGCTGATGAGTGCTGTATTTGAAATAGTAAATGAATATCGATGTGTTGTTCTAGTGTCCAAAGGAAAGGCATCAGTTCAGCAGTTGGCAAGGTGCCATGGTCAACAAAGAATGGGAAGTTGTACCCTTCACAAAGTACTTTGAGTATTCTGGTGGCAAAACCATGAAACTATCCTCATAATTTGAACACATTTGCCGCTAATAAATTTCCCAAATTCATAATTTGATTTCCCGTTTTAAAGAGAAGACAATTCCACCAAAGCTAAAGCAGAATAAGGCATCCATTCCAAAACAAAGAATTGGGCAATTATCTTTCCATTGTGAGAAGAGAATATGCTAAGCAAGTTAATTACATAAGTAAGATTGAGAGAGAAGGCTCAACTTTTTCCAAGACTAAATTATTTTCAAGCACCAAATTAGAAGTGAAATGTCCAGATGATCATTTGGGAATTGATAGTCTTTAAAACTGAATTTCTTCTTTAATATTTACTTACTATTTATTCTCTAATATTTAACCTGAATAAAAATAAAACTGCAATGAGGCAATGGGGAAAAAAGCTAAAATTAGTAACAATGCTCACTAAGTCTGTGACTCTTGAGATGTCACCTTGGATGACCTCATTAATGTCAACTTCACAATGGATGAGAAGAGGAAACAAGATCATCTCTATGGTCTGTTAGAGACAAAGACAGCTATGTGTCTTCAATGGAGTTCTAAAGATACTAGAAAGGAGGACTGAATGTAAACTGAGATTTGGAAGATATAATAAAATTTCAAGCTGATTTTATCTGATGCTTTTCAAATTTCCACGGGTATCTAATTACCAGCATCATTACCCAGGTTAGAGTGGGAAATCCTTGACCCTAATGATTATAATTAAGAGGTAAATATGAACAACCTACTGCGTCCCCAGTGAGAGATTTAGTATTATCTTACTCTGGGTCCTCTCTGGATACAAAGACACAACTTAAATTTTAAGAGATCATCTTCTGGGGCTGGGAAGGTGGCTCAGTGGTAGATGCTTGTCTTGCATGCATGAGTCTCTGGGTTTGATTCCTCAGCATCACATAATTAGAAAAAGCCAGAAGTGGCAATGTGGCTCAAGTGGTAGAGCACTAAGAGCTGAGCAACAGTGCTCAGGCCCAGAGTTTAGGCCCCAAAACTGACCAAAAAAACAAAAGGAGATCATTTGCTGAGCAATAATAGTTCATTAACAATGACCTCTAGGTTGTATAAGTTTTGAATACTAGAAAATTTTATAGATTACTTTTTTTAAGATAAATAAAAAAAATCAACTGAAGTGATAACCTAAGCTAACTTGTTTCAATGCAGTTCAAAGGAGAGTATGTGTAAGATACAGGAACAACTGAGAAAGGGCTGAAGTCAGCATCCCTACTAACTAAAATTGCTATTGGTTACCTGTTGCCTCATATCTTTTGGCCTAATTGACACAACAAAATAATCTCTGAGTTCTGGTGTAGGTGTAAACATTTACAAACTTAAAATAGAACGCTATCTTGATTCCAGGGGCAACATTTAGAGTTCATGAACCCAATCATTGAGTTCTAAGATCCTACATAAGATCTGAGATCCTACATATTTGCATTTCAAAGGAGGAAAGAAATAATTAGGATAAAGAAATAATACTGTCCATGAATATAAAGTTGTTTATCGAGCCAGCAGACAAATGTTGAGATGCCTTCCTTTTGAAGCATGCCAAGAAATGTAGAAAACCCACCTGACTAGGATTTACAAGCCAACAGCAAGAGCCAAGATATTTGGTCTAAATTTGGTCTAAAGGAGAATTATTTATAATTATTTGGCCTTCTGAGAAATTCCATATCTTTTAAGTGGATATTAAAGTATTTTCTTAAAAACCAATTATCTTTGTCCAGTAAAAGGGAAAGCAAAAGATGGTTTAGTTGTTTATGTTTGTCTCCTTTCCTTACTTTCTGAAAACTTGTAAGGTGAAAATAATAGTATCATATACTCTTATGCCAGGTCTCACCACAATCCATAAAAAATAAATGTTATTTGCTTGGCTGATAACAAGAATCATTTCCACATCAAAGGCCAATCATATATATATATATATATATATATATATATATATATATATATATACAGATATTATTTGAGGGATTATCAAGTCAGTTTCTTAGTGATGACATGTTTGTTCCCTAACTCTAGAAAACACAGCATTACTAAAAGGATCAATCAAAAACAATGGAAATTACTCATGTTTGAGAACAGAAAGACATTAAAGTCATAATGAATATGCCAATCAAATAGAAAACATTTTCTATGCACCATTGTTTTTTCCTTTCCACTTTAAAAAAATCCAAGAAATAACATATGAAACATTAAGAAAGAAACTGTGACAAAATAAGTCAAATACATTCCCCCATTATTTCCCTTTTAGCTGTACACAGATTCCAATAACTATCAAATCCTCATAAATGTAGATTTCAGGATCAATGATTTATATGTTATGTAATCTTGGGCAAGATGTTCTCCCGGTTTATTGTCCATTATGACAGTTAATCTTGATAGTCAACTTGACTGGACTGAGATTTGTCCATAATATTTATGAAGTGTACTTTTCTAAGTGTGTCTCTAAGGATATTTACAAAGAAGAATGGTGAAGATTTGCTTTAAATTTGTGTAGCATAATCCCTTTGGCTGGGAGTCCTGAGGAAATAAGCATTCTCTCTGTCGTTGTCTCTATTTCTGTCTCTGACTATTTCTGTCTCTGTCTGTCTGTCTCTCTTTCTCTCTGCCATTAGGTGAACAGCCTCCTCTTCTACCCGCTCCTACTACCATGTAATATTCTTCACAACAGGCCTAGAATCAATGGAGCCAAGGAATATAGACTAAAATTTCTGAGACAATAGCCAAAACAAAACAAATTATCCTTTTAAGTTATCTGTCATGTATTTTGTGCAGGGATTATGCTAACCTTGCCCATATCATTTCAATTTTAGTATAAGTGCTGCTGAAGCAAGCACTGTATTTTGGGCATAGTACACAATAGTAACTAACAAAAACTACACCTGACTATTTGGTTCTAAATCTTTGCAAATTTTTCGAGGAACTTGCAGGTTAGAGCAGTGTTGTATTGTTGAGAGCAGAGTTTAATGAGTGATTTTGGTGAGAACTAAGAAGACCAAAGTGTTTATAGGGTGGGTAAAGATATTAGTGCTGTCACAAAGAAATCAAATATCTTGTACCAAAGCAAAAGGGAAGTTGCCTTGAAAGCATCTCAGAAATTTCCAAATCCCTTTCATTTGAGAAGATAGCTCCAAGGTTTCCCAAGTATGAGGAAGTATTCTACCAAGTTTCAGCCATAGTTTAAGGGAGACTGCTGGTGGCAGTCTCTGGCACGATCCACATAAGGCTGGTTTGTAGGCACACAGATCACAGGAGTTAGAGGGTTATGGAGGCTTTCAGATTTCAAAGGAAGGCCTGGGAAGCCAAGGAATGAGTGACAGAGTCAAGATCTTTGTAGTCGGTCCCTAAGAAGTTAATAGGTGAAGATGTGATCATGATATCTAAGCTGCGATGAAGACTTCAGGACACTAGAAATGCCAGGGCATGAACATTTTCTGAGAAAAGCCACAAGTAATGGGGAACACCAACCCAGAACAAAACGACTGCAAGAGTGCAAATGCTGAAGTCACAGGGCAAGGTCTACTACCCCCTACTGCTGGTGCCCATGATTTCTGATGCCTGATATAGCAGAAATGAAGCTGCAGCATCACATTGGGCCTTACTTTTGGTCCAATCTTCCCTCATTATTCCCATACTTTTCCCTTTTGGAGAGAATATTTACTCTGTGCCATTTTATCTTCAAAGAAGAAACTTAAAAGTTTGCCATGAGTCTGAGAAGACACTTCCAATTTGAACACTTGGATGGGAAGGGGAAACAAAGGTGGAGGCAACAATGCTTGATAAGAAATGCACTCATTACCTTGCCCATGTAATTGTAACCCCTCTGTATGGTATTTTCACAATAAAAAAAACTTGGGCAACTTGCAGCAATGGAATAAATGCTTTTCGCTGTATAAATGGCTATTCGTTGTTTGTGGACCAAGGGTACAATGTTAGTGGAGCAAGTATAAAGTATCCCACAAAAAGTTTATGCTTTAGAGGCTTGGTTCTGAGTCCTGGCTGAAGGAAGTAAGTCACTTGGAGTAGATCATTGGAGTATCTGTCCTTCTGATGTCTTCCTGATTCTGTCTCCGTGAGGTGAACAGCCTCAAAATTCTCCCACCTCAATTAAGTTCTGTATCACCAAGGGTACAGAATCCTTTGAATGGAGCCACCATGAACTGAAACTTCTGAAACCATGAGCTAAAATAATAAATCTTCCTTTAACTTGTTTATGCCAGGTATTTTGCACCAATAAAACTGTCTAGTGAACCCATTAAAATAGTATCAGCAATGGAAGCAACACCATTGTATCTAGATCCCTCATACAATCCTATATTTTTCTTTTGTAGAACTTGTACTGTTTAAACTTTCTGATGCCAAAAAGTGACTTTGTCTTTTACATGATTGGTGAAAAGAATTGGGTCTCCCAGAAGAGCCATAGGAAGTTTTTGCACAGATAAAATGAATGATACCTAAAAATGATACTTAAAATACCTCGGTATTTTTTTTTTTTTGGTCAGTCATGGGGCTTGAACTCTGGGCCTGGGCGCTGTCCCTCAGCTCTTCAGCTCAAGGCGAGCGCTCTACCACTTGAGCTACAGCGCCACTTCCGGTTTTCTGGTGGTTTATTGGAGATAGGAGTCTCACGGTCTCTCCTGCCCGGGCTGGCTTTGAACCGCGATCCTCAGATCTCAGCCTCCTGAGTAGCTAGGATTACAGGCGTGAGCCACCAGCGCCCGGCAATACCTCGGTATTTTAAGTAAAGGTGAAAATATCTTATTTTTGACATCCGGGTAAAAAAACTAATAAAAGAACCTGAAACTTTTAATAATAAGGGTTGTGGCCTAAGAAGAATCCACAAAATCCATCTGTTAGTTATGACATTAGTAGGTATCTGTTTACAACTTAGACTTGGATTCTTAAAGAATGAGTTGAAGATTATTTAGGATGTAAAGTGCTATGCTCTGTGTTCTGTTCTAAAATGAGTAATTTCCACCATCTTTTTTTGGGAGGGATTGGTCTTTTTATCACTACTCTCTAGAGTCAGATTTTTATATATAAATGATGACTGATAAATTTCATCCTATATGACACTATAGATGGAAATGGAAAACAACTGAAATAAAGATATAGTGAAGGAGGTGGGAAATAGAATATAAAGAAAGCTATAAATATATGTGGATTTAAAAAGAATTGTAATACATCTAAATAATACTTGCCATTTAAGAAGTACAACATCCATATCTCAGGTTTTCCTTGACCCTCAGCACACCATCAAAAAGGTCCACAGGTTTTGAGGTGTTATAGCTCAACATGGGCCATAAATCTAATGAACCACAGAGCACAATCTTATATTCATCCCTCTATTAATCCCTTTATGTTACCACCAACATGGACCCCTAAGTAGGAAAACTCTATTAGCACAGGAACTCATTAACATCATGTTTACCCTTTTATTAACTTAAAATCATATTTATTTAACTAGATGTCTCATTAGCTTATTGGAGTCATTACTGCCTGTCAATCAGAGAGAGCAAATGAATGAATATCCTTCACAACAGAGAAGCCAGCAGGACGGTAATTAATGACTTTGCTAATAGCAGCTTCGTGTTCAAGCACATTGATTTTGGAGATATGGAATATATGCTTACAGTCTCTAGGGAACAATATCCACTCTAACTTACCCAGAGCTCACTTACTAACAGCCATTAACAATACATTCTTTAAAAGATCTATTCCTAATAATCTTTTACACATGGATGTTCTCCAATGTTAATTACTTAGATTTCCATCATTCTTGTTGTCAAATTTTGCATTCAGAAGGTAAAAGTAAATTATAAATGGTACTGCCGATGCATAAGTGTCTTAAGCAGAGGTGACACTTGAGGTTGGTTTTTGAAGGGAAAATACTATATGAAAGGACATTCAGACATGGAGTAGATGCAGGATGAAGGGAGGAGCAAAAGGAAACATTTAAAAAGAAGCACCAAGGGAAGCACTAGAAGAAAGTCTCAGAGTGTCCCTTCCATTCTTTATCACTCGCCCTCTCTTCTTCCCTCCTTCCCTCCCTTTCTTCTTTTCTTCCTTCCTTCCTTCCTTTCTTTCTTTCTTTCTTTCTTTCTTTCTTTCCTTCCTTCCTCCGTCTTTCCTTCCTTCCTTCCTTCCTTTCTTTCTTCTTTCTTTCTTTCTTTCCTTCCTTCCTCCTTCTTTCCTTCCTTCCTTCCTTCTTTCTTTCTTTCTTTCTTCTCCTTCCTTCCTTCCTTCATTCCTTCTTTCATTCTCTCTCTTTCTCTCTTTCCTTCTCCCTCTTTCTTGTTCTATCTTTTTGGGGGGTTGGACTCAGGGTCTCCAAGTTAGTAGGCAGGTAAATTACCATTTGCATCATGCCCCTGTACCTCTAAACAGAGTTTTGATGTCAGGCTTTTTGGAAGGTCACGATTACTTTAGCTATATGTATAAATACCCATATACTTAAAACCATATATAACTGCTCAAGAATTTGGTCTTAAACATCATAGTCCTCTTCTAATTAATATGGGAAAAGGTGCCCGTTTTAAGGGAAATGTACATCTTTTATATCCATATCTTGGAGTTTGTTGCCACATACACACACAGAATTTTATATAAATATGAAGAGATGCTTAGGATTATGCCATTGTGATTCTCTCTTAAGAGCATCCTCTTTTGGTCTCACTGTATGTGAGTATCTAGATCAGCTGTTTTTTTATATCAGTCTATGTATTGGACAGATCAAAGAAGCCAAGACAATTATTTAATCTTTTAGAAAATCATCTTATTTCAAAATAACTGTGTGTGTGTGTGTGTGTGTGTGTGTGTGTGTGTGTGTGTGTGTGTGTATGTGTGTGCACATGGCCAGTCAAAAGTTTATTTTCTCCTATGCTAGGCACTGATAAAATTAATTTGACATTTTCTTTTCTAATAAGTTGATACTTTTATATACATTTGTCTTAAGCTTGTTTTATACCTTGACCTAACATTATCTTTCTCTCTCTCTTCTTTCTTTCTCTCTTCCTCTCTCTCTCTTTCTCTTTCTTTTATTGTCGGTTGTGTGGCTTGAACTCAGGGCCCGGACACTGTACCTGATCTTTATCGCTCAAGGCTGGTACTCTACCACTTTGACCCACAGTGCCATTTCTGGATTGGCGGGAGAGGAGCGGTTAATTGGAGATAAAAGTCACTCAGACTTTATGTGTCAAAGGAAATAGCTTAAGAACTCCTAATAAATGATTAAGCTCCCATACTTAACTATAATAGCAATCCTGAATACAACTGATCAAATTTGTTTCTTCTCTCTCTCTCTCTCTCTTTTTTGGTGGGGGAAGAAGGCAAGGTCAGGACTCAAACTGGGTACTTTCTGCTTTCTCTCATTGGCTAGTATGCTACTAAGTGAGCCACATCTTCAACCCCAACTGATGGTATTTCTGAGAATTAAAGGTCAGATTTTCACATTACCATAAAGAATTAGTCATGTTAGTCAATAGATTTGATCAAATTGTCAAGCAATGAAAAACACCAAACATGTCAATTTCATTATTTGAAATTCATTCTTTGACATTCACAATTGTTTAATCAAAATTAAGTGATAAATTAAGTTTTCCTTAGTTGGCCAAACAAAGGCTGACCTGACTGAGTTGGGATGAAGAGATTTGTTACCTATCTAGTCTCAGTCAACCTTGACCCATCATTTAGTCCCATATTAAAAAGACCTGTGTGGGCTGGGAAGGTGGCTCAGTGGTAGAGCGCTTGCTTTGCATGCAGGAGGCCCTGGCTTCGATTCCTCAGCACCACATAAGCAAAAAGAAAAAAGCCGGAAGTGGCTCTGTGACTCAAGTGG